TGAAATTTACGGATTTTCTTCTTCTTCGTCTCCTTGATTATATTTATATTTCTGAGTCCACAGCAGTGTACTGGCTGGTTATTTTTGGTTTTAGTTGCAGGTGTTTTAATTTCGAATTACTTTTCTGTTTGGCGGAAGTAATACATCTTTTGACCTGTCATTTATCTCTTAAAAGCGTTTCATGCTTTCAATATCCCTGTAAGATTGCCACTTGTTCGTAAGGTTTTAAGCAACATATGCATTTAAAAACTAGATTATAAGCCCTGGTTACAGGCTTTTAAGAGCTTCAAAAAATAAATGTTTGAAAATATTTTTGCCATTGAACTAAGTCAATTATAACAACATACAGATAAAAGTTGGAAGAAGATGAATAAGACTTACGACTGAAAATATTCTTGAGTAGTGTTGCCAACGCTTTAAAAAGGTAAAATTAGTAAGGTAAATCTAATATACTAAATAATAAATATATTATTTCAAATTAAGGTTTAAGAAAGAGTCCTGTTGGAGTCATTTTTGAAAGAGGTTGCCACATGTTAAGAAAAATTAAGTAAATTAAATAACTGAAGTAAACAAAAATGACAAAATTGGTAAGGAAAAAAATTAAATATTTTTAATAGGCTTGCCACATAAATTAAACATAAGACTTAGCAGTTTAAGAAATTGTGTTCCGGACATATTTTTGCGAGAGGTTGGCAAATGTTAAACAAATTAAATCAATTAAATTACTGAAGATTTGACAATATTGGTCAATTGAAAGGTTTTTTAGTCCAGTACCTAGAGTATAACATATATCTAGAACACCGTATATCGTTGCCTCTAATCTAGATCCTGGAAAAATGTATGGGTTTGACCAGATCTCTACGGATTTTTGCTTATTCAACTTTTATTCTTTATTCGCTTTTAATATTTTCAACGTATGAAATTTTTAATATACCCGACCGCAACACCAAACAACGAGCTACCACCCCATCAGCCCCCCATAGATTCTTTTATAACCACTCTGTTACTGATGACAATGATTATTGCCTTTTTATTGCTTCATTTCCAGCAGCAAACACAGTAACTCTTACATACCGGCTTGTTTATACGACTCAAGGGTATATTGCGTACATGAGACGACAAGAGTATGTGGTAGTAATGACACGCCTCCTCGACTACACGCATTGCGGCGTAATAATTTGTCATTATTATTCCACGCGTTAACTGCAAACTTATAATTCGACATTGCGATGCCGTCGCCTTTTTCGGTTGACCCGCTTGCAAACATATATATATAATGACTTAAGTTTATTCTGCCAGTGAGGCTGGTGTAGCTGGTTGACCCAAGCTAAAAATAGTTTAATTCCCAAAGCTGTTTAAAAAAGCATCGCCCTCATTGAAGTAACGGAGTAGATTGGTTGCGGATAATGTGAGCGGAATAACTGTTTGTGGCGATAAATGGGTTGCAATGAATGAATGGGCTTAAGACACGCAGTAATCGCACAATTAACCGCTTATGAAGTTACTTTTTAATCTTCGTTTGGGAGGAGTGAGTGTTTCACTAAATAAGCTCACTTAATGTAAGCCATAAATATATTTATTAAACATTTATTTATAATTGGATAATACTGTCATTTATTTGCTGCTGTTTTCAAACTTTTTTTTAAAAGAATATCAACTCAAACACGCAGGACTTACTTAGTGACCAAAGCGACCGATATTACCTTCGTCTAAAGGAGGCTCAACTCAAATGCTCCGAACTTAGTTCGTGACGAAACTCTAGGTTAAATGAAATTAGCTTCGCCTTGAGGAGGCTCAGAAGCACACAACTTAATTAGAGACGAAGCTCTACTTTAGATGACATTACCTTCCTTTCAAAGAGGAGCAACACAGATGCTTAGAACTTTGTTACAGATCAAACTGTAGGTTAGAAGACATTAGCTTCCTTTCAAAGAGACTTAATTCAGAAGCCCAGGTCTTCGTTAGAGACCAAACTCTAAGTTAGATGAAATTAGCCTCGTCTCAAGGAAGTAGAAATATTTGAGTCTGAACATCAAAACGATATCTTTCCAACAAACTCCATCCTTCATGAGTTCCAATGATTGCAGGAGATGATCTAAAAGTTTTAGAAAATAGCTTCCGATAACAATAATAAAGTAAGATTGTTTTAAGCTTAAAATTTTTGCCTCTCGCAAACTGCTTCAGAAAAAAAAATTCAGTGAACAAATGAAATTTCTGGATATTATGCTTCTCAACAATTACGAAACTCCTTAAAGAGAGAACAAATAAACTTCGGTAATATCGGGCATTTTGTATTGAACAAAAATGTCCCAATATAATCCTTTATTTTTGCCAAGAAATTGCTTTTTGAACCGGCGTCTGCAAACAAAAGGATCGGTCTATAGATATCAAAATGTCAATTGCTCACAAAATGCAGTAAAGATAGATAATTTCCTCTGACTGGTAATACTGGCCTCGCTGACAGCGCGCTCAAGAAGTATCTGACCTCATTAGCAAGAGCATCAAATTACTTTAATATAAGTTTAGTTTGGGTGTCTGTTCATAGCGGAATGGCTGGAAAATGCAAAGCTGATAAACTTGCAACAAACCCTTGCCCCAATCTCATTAGACTGGTTCGGTGCTTTGCTAGCCTGTTGCATTTCATCACTGGATCTGTCAAACTTGCGTGAACTCAGTAAGCGTTAGTTAGAAACCAGCACCTGTGTGACAGTGACATTATTCTGACTGAAAATGGGGCGTTAGAGGTTTATTGAGCTATTTACTCTTAGCAAGTTTCAGCCTATCGCATTGATAGGAGTTCTCACTGGACACAGTTTTATTGGTACTAACGCGCTGATCTAGACACCTTCTCTTCCACTGTCAAACTTTTAATAGACTAAGGTTGAAGCCACTCTGTAGGAACTTGCAACTGAACTCAATAGTCACTGCGACACTGTGGTAATAAACTGACACGCCTGCCATCAATACAACCAACCACCACTGCAGGTATACCCAATTTTTCGTAGAAATGTCATTTAGATTTTGTTATATCATTGTCATGCATTTCCAATCCAGTCCGCTCTAAAACATTTATTAGTCAACTAAGTACTTTCGACACCGTGCTTCTTCTAATGAAATGTCTGCATCTTTCCCAACGGTTATTCGGAAATGTCCTTCTGCAAGAAATCGTTAATGTGCTCCCTGTTGCAGATAGTGTTACTTTGCACAACTCTCATGGTTTCATTCGGCGTCTGGAACATACCTAAATGTAATGATTTTTAACCGAAAGTAAAAATACTTCAAAAGCAGACTTCAGCCACCTTTTATTTATTGAAATGAAACAATATTTTTTTTTTAATTTAATATTGGAAAAGATGTTTTTATTTAATAATGTTTATTTATTGTATGGTCTAGATGATTTTTATTTTTTATTTTTTTTGTAATTTATAAATTATTTTTGTTGGTTTTGCATTATCACTTTGTTATGTGTATAAGTAGTATGTACCGTAAATAGAGTACGTAATAATAATTATGATATACAGTTATTTGTATGTATGTATGTTTATTTTCATAATGTAGTTAAATGTATAGTATGTACTTGTTTGATCTTTTGTTTTCTTTATTTAAGTATTACAAGTATTTGGACTTAGAAACTGTTTATAAATACAAAGCAAATTTAATATTTAACGTACATATGTATATGTTTATTATGTACGTGCTATACGTTTGTATGTATAATTGTAGTAGAACATTTCGTAATTGCGAAGCAAATGTAACGGTAAATATTAATAATAATTTGAAGTGTTAAAAAAGTTTAAAATATATTGTCTTGCAGCGTTAAACATTTTGTTTGAAAATATTTTTTTCATGCAAAATTGGTTTGCAACAGAGTAATCGGTTTTGTGTATATACGTACGTATGTGTTTGATTTTTTGTAAATGTACATATTTTTGCATCTTTATAGTAGATTTTTATAATCTTTGTTCGAAATTTTTGAAGTTTTTGGGATTTTCAAAAGCTATGCGATTATTTGAACATTTTTTTTAATTTTAACTCTTTTAGTTTTACTAAAATATTGTAAGCATTATTTTCTGCTTTTATAAAATGTTACTTGTAATGCTACCATTTTTTAACACCCAACCAACTTCATTTTATATTCTTTACTGATTTTTTTAAATACTGAGCTTTAAAATAATATAAATTTTCGGAAAAAAAAAATTATATTTAACAAAAAAACACCAAAAAAATGTTATTTAATTTTGAGAAAAAAATAAAATAAAGAGAAATAAAAACGCCAGAAAAATAATAATTATTTATATAATAATATAAATAAAATAATTATGTATTACATAATAAAACTAATAAATATTAAATTTTACAATTAAATTTATAATTCTTAAAAACTTAAAGAAAAAAATACTGTTTCTAAAGAATACATAAAAAGATTTCAATAATTTCAAAAACAAAATTAAATTAATAAGCACGTAAATATTTTGTTTTTAACAATTTATAAACCAAAACATTCACACAAAAATTATTGTATGCAAAATATGTTAAATAAAAGGAAATTTTTTTTGGTTTAAAACATTATAATACTACGCATAAATGCTAAATAAAACAATAAAAAACTTGCTTTGCCTTTTTGTGAATATTTGCCAAATATTTTTTAATACTTTTAGAAATAAGTTTTTCTAACAAAATTTGCTGTCAGTTCTAAATTTTAAACGCCAATTCTGCTTTTGATCTTATATTTTTATGCAATAATGAGAAAAGAAATTTTGTTTTAATCATTTTTATTAACAAGTTAAGGTTTAAGAAGAATAAATTACGAAATTTTTAAAATAATTATGCTTTAATGACATTTTAATTTAATATTAAAATTAATATTGTAAAAAAAATTTAAGTTAATAAAAAGTAGTGTAAAGAAGTAAATAAGAATACATAAAAAAATTACTACAAGCTTTAGTTTTTAACATAAAATATATTAAAATTTTATTGAACTTCTTTTAAATAATAGCAATATAATTTAAATACATTATTTTCTTCAAACACAATTCTTTAGGCATTCAATAACATTTTTTAACATTTTATGTGAATTATTTGCAAAAAAAAAATTGAGTATTTCATTGAACTCTCTTTAATCAACATTAATTAAATTTAAATATATTAAGTTGTTAAAACACATTGTTTTAGGTATGCCATGGTATTTTTTTAACATTTTATATAAATTTTTTACGCTTTTAGCGCAGCATTAGTTTTTCGAACAAGCAACCATAACCTCAAAAATTTCCAAAATTAAAAATTCTCAAAAAATATTGCGGTTTCACAACAAAAAAAAATACTAAGAAAAAAATAATAGTTTGATTAATCGCTTCAAAGAAATATCATATATTCACACATACATATGTACAACGATTACTCTGTTGCAAAAATGCTTTTATTTTTCATTTCATTATATTAACTGTTTTCAAATAGCTCAATAATAAGCTAAACTGTCTTTAAACTGTTCGTTCGCTACTAGTATCCATGTGTGTGTGTGTGTCAAACTTTCACCTCAAACGCATAGCTTAAGCTTTGCCAACCTGTCTGCGCTTACACTCACGCTGCTAATCTCATATTTCACATTATATACTTCCACTTATATACTTTAACTGCAATATATAAAGTGTATTATGTGCTTACAACAATACATATGCGCTTATGTAATTAGGGAGCGAATGTTTGCAAATAACATGTGTGTTTTATAGAGAAAAATACGATAAAATGTTACACATTTTTTTGTTAAAAGCTTTAAGCCTATGACATACATACACTAATATTAATCAAAATGAGTATGTTTATAACGGTATTTTAGCCACTTTTAGTGTGGCATGTTGCATATGTGCACGTATGTGTGTGTGTGTTTGTAGTGATATTATTAAGTTTAGCGTGTCAGACAACATTTGACCGTCCGTGATTTGTATTTGTATGCTAAGCATATAATTTTTTTTCTTTATTTATTATCCTTTGATTTTTAACGCATATTACTCATTTTTTATTGTACAAAAAAAATTTTTATTTTTATTTTTCTGTTAATAAAATATATATATTTACTTGCACTTACTTGTATTAAATATAACTAAATATATATATATTATAATATTATTTTAAAAATTAACGCTTTTTGTTTATTGAATTTTAAATTTTAGTTTATATTTTATTTTAATAATTTTTTTTTCCATTTTCTTACGCTAAGCTTAAGTGTTACAGAATGTTTTATGAACAAGAAAAAATAAATATTTTTCAAATGTATTTTATGCTTGTTTTTAATCTAAAAAAAATTAATTACGAACTGTAGTTAGTTTTCTACTTTAGCTCGAAGTTGTGAGTGTTGCATAAAATGAAAAATGTAACCACATTTTATTAAGTACTTGGTTGTTTTTTTTTGTAATTTATTATGTTATAATTTGCTGTTTTTATTGCAATAATTTTTATTTTATTTATTTGCAGCTGAAGCTTATAAAATTAATTTAATGCTTCGCTAAACAATTAGATATCGAAGTATTACTAATATTTTACATAAATATATTTAAGCTAAATAAACACAATGCTTTTTTTAATATCATAATAGTTGAAAAATATGCATTTTAAAGTCAGTGTATTAAAACGGAATTATTTTTTGAAAGTAACTTTTCGAAATTTACTTGTAACTGTGTTATTACGTGGCACAGTAGTATTTTGTTGCATTTATAATAAATAATAAATCTCAATTTAAGCTGCAAATGCCGTAAAATCATAAAGTAAACGCTTCTACGTTTATATTTATGGCCGACATTCGCGAATAATAGACTTTTGTAAAACTACAAATATATATACAGTATGCAAAAGTAATTTTGCATATTCTATATACGTGTATTTATGTATTAGATAAAATAATTAGCATTAAAATATATACATATGTAGAGTGTACGTTATTTGCCAAGTTGATTTTTTTTTTGTTTTTTGTTTTTGCAAATGCCCCCTAAAATTAAAGTTTTTGTCATAAAAAGTATCCAAGACAAACAAGCGCTTTATTTTCAATTTAAACTGTGCCTAAAACATATTACCATTCCCATACATTTTACATGAGATTTTTTGTCCTGTTGCAATAAAATGTTTATTTCCAAAGCAAATAAACCGGTAATTTTAAAAAACCGATATTCTAAATAATACGAAATACCCGCGCTACAAAGAAGCTCTTGATAATTTTTTTCATAAAAATAATGCTTTAAAAGTTATACGCTGCTAAACTTGTGCAGCAAATGTGCTTCATATAGTACACCATGTCGTATGAGCAACACAGTATGTATAAATCACTTGTATGAATATTCAGTACATTTGATGTATAACTTTGACTGCGTATAACTTTTAAAGGAACGTTTCTATGGAAAAAATCATTACGACATTTTTTGTAGAGCGGAAAATTTATATAAAAAAATCACTTTTTCGAAATTGTAGACCTGCTTGCATAATGCAAAATATCAAAAAATCCCATGCTATATACATGGGAAAAGAAATATGATTTGGTCACTTTGAAATTGAAAATAAAGCGTTTGTTTACATTGGATCTTTTTTTTTCAGCAAAAACCGAAACTTCAACTTTTGCGTTTGTAACCAAAAAAATTAACTTGGGAAATAACGCACAGCTTAATGTACATACAAACACATATTTTATTTATAAAATATTTAAAGCGCTGCATTTTGTAGTTATTACATGCACGCACACACATATATAATAAGTTGCTTGCATAGTTTTTAAATATTTAATTAATTATTTATTAAAACGTATTAAAAATATTTATTAGATTAACAAATTTACTGGCATTTTATAGGTTAAAACATAATAATTTCTTTATAATTTCTAGTATAAATGTATTTGCATTTTACCATTTCAAACAAATGTTCATGTATAGAGCATAATTCTACTTTAAATCGCTTAACTTTTATGGCTAATTTTAGTTTATTTTTTAAATGTTATTTTATAAAATATAATATATATTTTCATATACTAAACTAACATGGCCTTGTCATTGTTGTAGCAACAATATTTTGAATTTCACAAACTTTTTTATATTTTTTATTAAAATTTTATATATAATTTGCACACTATGAGCGAAAAACTTGCTATATTTTAGTTAAAAATTGCATTTGCCGCAAAGAAATAATGAAAAGCAAATAAAATAGCAAATACTTACTTCAAAAAAGGCTTTTTCTTTCCTACAAGGAAATACTTTTCACACGATTTTAAATATTAAATTTGATAAAATTTATGACTATTACATTTTCTGCTAATATATAATAATTGTAGTTTAATCGTTACAAGTTTTTTTTTGTTCTTTATGCATAATTTTTATTATGCATGCGCGTTATTAAAGTAAAATATTTAATAATAATGTAATTAAATATTTCATTTGTATATTTCTTAGTTAAAATGTTACATTTTGTGATTTTTTATTTAATTTTATATATTAAAAATAATGTATATGCATGCATTTTGTATGTATATATGTAAGTTAAAAAGGTATTTTTTTTTTGTTTTTCTATGGATTATGTGTTTTTGTCATTTTTCAATTTTTTTTTTTGCATTAGCAGTTGAAAATTTAATTTAAATATTTAACTATTTACAATTTTTCATAATTGTTTTATATTAAACTTAAATAAAAGAATGTGTGTGTTGTTGTCATGCGCTGTATATAACGGCAATTGGTACAGGACATGCATGTGACATGCTGAGGGCGGAGCGGAGCGACACGACGTAACAAATGAAAGGCGCTTCTCAAGTAAAATGATAGCAAAGTTGTTGTTGTTGCAGTTTTTTAAAATCATTTATTGTTGTTGTTGCTTTTAATAACTTCTAATTTTCTTCATTACTACATTGTTATTGTTGTTTTTGAACTTGTCACACATAAAAAATGAAATATGTCGTTGTTGTATTCTTTTTCAATTTGTTGTTGTAAAAAATAATGCTTCTGCCATACAACTATTGCCTGCCTTCCGCTTACAAAACCAGAATCTACCCCAACTGTGCTCTTCTTCACACCAACAAGCGCACCAAAAACACACTAAACTATTTATTTTTGTTTAAAAAAAAATTTCTTTACATTTTTAAAATTTATTTTATTTTTGGAATGGTCTTAATTACTTTCACTACACAATGCATGTCTTCGTCGTACTTTTAAATGTTTCTTTTGACTTTTGTTACACTACTCCACCACCAGTTGGGCGTCCACGCTCTCCCCCACTCTTGACTGCACACTCTTCTCTCTTTCCTCTCTCGCTGTACGGCTATAAAATAATAATTTACACACTTTCACAAACATTATCGACTTGGCTTTCATATGGAAATTCGCGCGTTCACATATTTAAACGCCATTTTGTTTTTTATTTTTGTTTTTGGTGTTTTTGTTAAATTAATTTTAAATGCACTTTCTCAAAGTAGGGGTCTCCATTTGATAGTTATCATAATGAAATTGTAGAAAAAAGAGGAATAAGTTTGAATGTACATATGTATATATGGTTGAGAGCGCAGTGATAATGTGTGTGAAAGTATGCCTTAAAAAACCGATAATAAAACACCGTTATATGACTGTGGAACTCAACCTACACTCAAACGCCAGCATTTTAGCGCTTGTGTATGCGCATATTAATTGTCTAATAAAGGCATACACACACACACAAGCCCACAAACACTTCCACTGCCATTGCCCCCTGCGGCCACACCGCAACCATGCACATCCTGCCGCTCAGAGCGAAAGCTAGCCACAATGCCATTAGCATTAATTCAATTTCCTGTACACAAACGCGTTGGTCAGCGCGCACACTTCCGTTACCGAAAGTGGACCGTGAATAATAGCAACAACAACAATAGCCGACCGAAGTAGATAAACATGTTGTTTAATTTTCACTCGACCTTCACCGGCGCTGTCCCACACAATTTTAAGACATGTAGTTTAATTGAGTTCTGGCCTTACCGTTTATACAGCAAAATCGCCCTCACCCCAGGACATCTTATAATCATCTATATTGAACAAATCTAAGATGTCACCGGGCGTGCCAAAGCCGTCACTAACCGCCGCTGTCATTGCGCTCTCACCCATGCCGCCCAAGCCCATCATGTTGCTGCCATCACTGAGGCCACAAATGGACATTTGATCACCCATGCCCATGGAGTTGGAGTTGTTCGCCTGCATGCCACACGTGGAGGAGCTGGCAGCTGCGGATGATGGTGTGCCATTACCCAGACCGACGCCACTCACCATGCTACCACCGATGCCCAGTCCCATGGAGGTTTCACCATTTACCAGGCAAACGCTGTTTAGCATGCCGCTGCTGCCGCTGTCACCGCTGCCAAATGGATGTGGCGGTGTATTGATGTTGGAATCCGGCGAGAATGCGGAAAAGCTGAAGGAGCCTAACGGGTTCTCGAAATCATCGCAGACATCCATAGGGGTGGCGTTGAAGTCATTATCGCTGTGGTTGTGACTGTGCGTGCGCGCATCGGTGTCATGCAGGTTGAGACCGCCGCTGCTGCTGTTGACCTCACTGCCGTTGCCGTTGCTGCTCAGGCAATTGTTGTTGTGGTTGTTGTGTGGACTGCCTGCGTTGCCACTTAATATGCTGTGATTGTGTGAGAGATTATTAGTATTATTGTTGTTGTTGTTGTTGGCGATGCCTTCTTGCTCGCTGACTTGCGCGAGCTGCGCCACAAAGCTCTCGGCATCGAAATCCACATCAGCGGCACTTAACACGTCACGTGCGCAATTGTTGTGTTGCAATTGATGGTATTGCTGCTGTTGTTGCTGTGATTGTTGATGACTTTGCTGTTGCTGTTGTTGTTGCTGCAATTGCTGTTGTATAAGCTCATTGATCGATGGCTGCAAGCTCGGATTCATGTCACGCCGCAGCCCATTTAGCGTATGTGTGGCAACATTGGCTGCAGTCGAAGCCGCCACAGCCGAGTCGACGCCATTGGCGTTCTTGCCGTCACCGCTGGAATGATGCAAGTGCTGTTGGTGAGCAGAATTCAGACCGGCGCCACCGTGCGATGTGAAATTACTTGCATCATCACCGATATCCATCTCCAACTGTTGCGACATCAACTCGAACAGCTCAAATTCATCAAAGTGATTAAGCTTGGCATCCGGACTACCAACATTGTGTGACATAACCAACTTCTCGGGTGAATTGCTCGCCTTGCTCAGCATGTCATGGTGCGTAGGCGACTGATGTTGTTGCATGTGTACGCCAGGCGTAGACGATTTTGGCGGCGGTGTGGAATGGTGTTGCTCCAGAAATATATCCAATGTCTTAGCTACGCTCTCGGCGTCAAGGTTTGCGTCTGGCTGTAATGGCGAAGCCATGTCGATGTTGTCAATGAAGCCGCTGTGTAGTGAAGAATTGATGGCATTAGACGGCATATCGCTGCCGCCGTCGCTCAACAGCTGAAAAACGCTGTCAATGTCACGTTGCGCCTGCTGTTGTTGCTGCTGTTGTCCACTAGGTGTTGTGTCCATCGGTTGCGTTGGAATGGTGCTCTCCGGCATTGGGCTGCTGCGTGGCTCCTGTTTAGGCACGAGTGCGCCCGATGCGGCCAGCACGTCAGCAGCGGTTTGCAAGTTTGTGTTGGGGTTGAATATCAAATTGCCGCTCATGTCTGTCATAAGCGCATTGCTGCCGCCTGGAGTGAGCGGTGTCACGGGGGTGATGGGCTCCAAAACGCTCTCGGGTAGGTCACCCTGCTTGACGAGTATATCCAGCACATTTGTGACTTTTTCAGATTTCATCGGATTTTTGCGTTTGCTGGTCGTCTGTGTAGTCACAGAATGAGTGGGCGCATGCGGCGTATTCCGTCCGGTATTGGGCTCTTCTTTGATTTTAATCTGCGCTAGATTTGCTTTGGCAGCCAGTTGCTTAGTAGCCTCCTCGTATTGTGGGGGCGGCGGCGGTGGCGGCGGTAGGTTGTGTGGCTTAATGTCCAGCTGTATGATCTGCTGTGTGGGCTGGAAGAGGCGATTGTGATATTGATGCGGCTGCTGCTGTTGTTGTTGTAGTTGTAATTGTTGCAACTGTTGTTGTGTAATCACCGGCTTCGCTTCGATCAGCTGATGCTGTGGCTCGTGCCCGGCTGGCGCAGCTATAGGAAAGAGTATGCTCGGCAATGAGCTTGTGCGCTGATGTCCATTCAACAGTTTCTTAGTAGCTGGACTGGCGTTGGCAAGCGAAATATTGCCAATTGTATGCGCTGTCATATGCTGATCGTTTAGACCAACCAGGAAGATCGTCTGATTGCCTTCGTTCCACACGAGTCCCAGATTATTGTGCGTCTTCGCCGTCAACGGTATTTGATTAGCGAGTATCGTTGTTGTTGCTGCGCCATTGTTTGTATTGGGAGCATTTGTATTGCACTTATTCATGGCATTGTTGTTGGAATTCTTTTGACGCGCCGCATTCGGCAGCTTCTTCAATTCGTCTAGTTTCGCCGGTGTGGCGGTCGCCGTCACGGTTGGAATGAGTAAAGTTTGTGTCTTTTGCGTGGTGGTGAGTAGACGCAGTTGCGCCTGCGCCTGCGTCTGTACCTGTGCCAACGCTTGCGCCTGCACTTGTTGGGCGTGTTGTTGTTGCGCTTGCGCTTGTGCTGCGGCCGCCGCAGCAGCAGCTGCCTGCTTTTGTTTCTGTATTTTCGCCTCGAGTTGCTGCTTCACCACCATTTTCTGACTCATCGCTTGCGGTGTCACTGCTGTAGTGTTGTTATTGGCGACGGCTTTGTGCGCGGCCGCATTTGTGGCATTCGCCTTGGCGGCATGCGTTTTGACCGTGACTACCTTAGTGGCTGGCAACGTTATATTCTCTTTTATCTGCGGCAACACGGCGAGCGGCGCGCAATTTGGTGTGGTTGTGGTAGTGATCAGCGTTATCTGCTGTGTGGGCAGGGCGTTCATCACCTGTGCGCTTACGGTCTGTTGCTGTGGGTGCTGCAAGTGCTTCTGCTGTTGCTTCTGTCGCATCTGCTGCAACTCTTGCTGGGAGCGTTGCAGTTGACGCTGCAACTCATCGATTTGGCGCTTTTGTTCGCGCACCAAGTCGTCGTTCGTTAAAATGATGGTAGCAGCCTGGGATTTCGGCTGTAATATGGTTTGTAGCGGCATCGGACGCGGCGAATCTACTTGCTGTACTATGTCCATTTGCTCATGCTCTAGATTACGGCGCTCCGGTGACATTGCAGCGGGGTGTGGTGAGTTGACAATCATGGGAACGGGCAGCTCAGCGTTCACCGCTGTGTTTGTGGCGTCCATAGCTTCTGCGCCTGCAGTGGAAATCATCTCGGATGAGGTTGTGGAAGCCGGCGTATTTACAATTGTTGAGCACTCGGTAACGTCAAGCGGTAAATATGGTTTGAGACGCTCTATCAGTTGTGGCTTGGGACCCGACACGGGCAGATTACGTCGCTTCAGGTGCATTTTTAAATCGGAAACCTTCATCTTTTCCAGACGTGAGAAATCTGTTACAGAGCAGGTAGACTCAGCGTAGCTCGTGGCTGGACTCGGTGGTATGGAAGAAGTGACCGAAAGTGCCGGCGATGGTAGCGGTGGTGGACGTGGCGTGGAAATTATGGAAAATGTCGAGTTAGCCGGTGATGCGGTACTACTTGCGCCATCACTCACCGCTGTAACGTTGGACAAGGGTGTCGTTGGGGCTGGTGAGGGCAGCGCTGTTGAAAGTTTTATGGCTGTTGCTGCTGTTGTTGGCGCTGTTGTATTCGACTTAGCCACTGTCGCGACCAACCCACCGTTTGCTGAACCATTGGCGTTTGTGCCTACTGCTGCGGCACTGGCCGCTGGCACGATAGATTGATTTTTGTTGAGTGTCTCAAGAAATTTGAGCAAGCAATTCTGTTGTTCCAACATTAGTTGGTAGGATGTCTCCTCGGGTTGGCTGCTTTCGCTGCTTAATTTCTGTGATGCATTCGGCGGTCCCTTATACTCGTGAAACTTAATTGTGCGCGCCTTACAGGCCGGTTTAGACTTTGATTTCTTGCGGTTCTTCTCCTTGCCCGGTGCATCCGATTTCGCCAGCGATAACTGACAACTCAATGGCGGTAGTGATGTGAGTGTTTGTGGTGGCGAAGCAATGGAAGATAGTGGACTCAGTGTCGATGTGGTCGATGTTAGCGAAGCCGGCGAGGAGACCATCGACAAGAAGCTACCTCCAGGGCTAGCTGACGGTCCAGCCACCGACTGGCAGAGTTCCTCAAAGAGATTCGCAGTTTCTTGTTTCACCTGTACGCTACTGGCGATAGACACCGCTGGCGGTGGTGGTGGCGGCGGCGGTGGCACTGCATTAACTTTTAATGCTGGAGCGCTATTCTGTAAGATCGGAGCAGATGTCACGACCACCTGGCCACCGCTAGTAGGTATGGTGAGCGCAACTGTCACAATGCCTGCCGAAGCAGCAGCCGCTTGCAGCGCATCGCCAGCGCCGTCGCATGCAGCTTGCTCATCAGCGCGTGGTGGCGTCTGACGTGTATCGCTTTCTGAGCTCTGTGAGTCCTCTTCGTACGTCACATAACTGTGTGGATGCTGTGGTCGCGTTAATAGACCTTCACTTGTTGCTTTGAATGATACTAAACCTTCTTTGACAATTTTCTCAATTGGTTTTTCTGTATGTAAGATATTTTTCTTGATGAGCTCGAGCGGTCCGGGCCGGTGCTGAATCTGTGAGTTCAGCTGGTCGGCTAAGCGCGCTTTCTTTAGCATGCGCTGTTTCTCCGCCAAGCTCGGATCGATATGACACTCATCTTCTTCCAATATATGACGTCGCTCCAGATCTTCCCGATTCGGACGCTGTTGTATTTTTGCCTTCAACAAATCGCTGGTCTTGGCACGCTCCAGCTGTTTGCATTGCTCGTGTATGGCGGGTGAGGTTTTCAAGGCTGCAATCAAAAAATGTGACATGAGTATATGTGTGTATATATTTCTATGAAAAAGTGAAGTATAATATTCTGCGAAAAGTAAATACGCTTAAAATTTAGCATAGTTTTCTACAAAGAAAAATACCACATTTAAAATGCTAAGTGCTTTGGAAGTAAAGCTCGGTGCTTCTTTCATCTTTCTACTCATTCTCATACATATGTATAACACTACGCCTGAAAATATGCACTGCCAATCACAAATGCCCAAAGCGTTAATCTCCCCATCAATCGTTTAAATAAAGATATACTTGTATTCGTATTTGAATAAGGAGGTAATGTAGGCAAGAAAAGATGGCGGCGGTAATTTAATTCAAATTGAATACGAATTTTATTTATGTACACATACATTTCTTTGTATATACTCCAAAAGTGAAAGCTTCGCAGTTTTTTACCTTTATTTACATAACCGTCTACGATGTCTGCCACAGAAGAGTGCCTGCCAGATTCCAAAAGCTGAATAACATTTATAGAAAGAGTGATGAGAAATATTGATAAGAAGAAAAGAGAAGTGGTGCTAACGTTGGAGAGGGCAACGGCTTAACCTCGCTTTAAAAGCCAATTTAAAATTTGAAGATAGATAAATATTGGATATATTTTAAAAGACATTATTGGTAGAGTCATATCATGTCACTAAGCACTGACATTAGTTGAGAAGACAAATATATCGCTTATAGAGGGACTGCAATTCTAGTTCGGAAAATCAATAACGGATACTAAATCCGTTCGATTTTTCTATCAAACTGTTTATAAAACTCTAATTCCAACTTTGACATATATTTCTATGTTCAATATAGTTTGATTATTGGTTGATTATTATTGATACATTGCGGTGGATCAACAATTTTCTGTATAGATATGGCCTGTGAATTCATAATTCTAGATCATTTAGAAAGTGTATACATACTCCAGCCGTCTTGTAATATAATAAGATCATTGAGAGTAGAACTCTAAAGCATTCATGTAAAAAATATTTAAAGAAGCTTCTTATATTATATTGCATTAAAACAGAAACTATACAAAGTAAGTCCAACGCTACAGAATACGAAAGAAATCCTTCTGAGGAGACATAGCCTACATGTCTTGGCTGATGATTTAATCCATACTTCTGAAGAACAAACGGAATGAAAGACAATCGTCTTAGCTTACCAAACGACACCTAAAGAAATAGATTACCTTAAATAAGAAATGAGGTCGGCGACACAAAAAAACATGCACAATTTTAAATAATACAATATATTCACATAATATGTGATGAAGTCTAACAATGTAAAGAATTTAAAAACTACTCAACCAAACTAGGCGCCAAAGTGAACATTTTGGGACATTTATTTTTACCCTTTAAAATTTCATAAACTAGTATTTTTCTCAATGGGGGGTTTTATGTATTTAGCTAAATGGCTTGGAAAACAAATGTCAACCAAAAGACTGGCAGCAAAATATTGTACATATTCTAGGTAAAAATATACATGCAGTATTCGCGCTTTTAGGATTTTTTAAGATTTTTAATATTTTGGTAATTAATTGTAAGATTTTTTAATAACGCATTTGCTACACGTATTTCGGTACGATATTATAGGATTTTAAAGAGGACATCTAAGATATTAAGCCAATACAAAGATTTGTTTCGGAGTCGTTGATCTTTATTTAATATTGCTTTGTTCAGAAGTTTATATATGTCAGGCTACTGTATGAACTATATTAACTTTATTTAGAAATTTCACGAAACCTATGAACGGACTGAATTCATGACATAAAGGCGTTAGCTTCATTAAGAGGCAAAAAAAAATTTTTTTTTTTTTTCAATTTTTATTTTTAGAAAAGGAAAAAAAGGAAGAAAAATTGATTTTTTTTCCAATTTATACCTAATACTTAAAGTAATTCTTATACATATTTTCGCGAATATCAGTCATATATTAAATGGAATATATTTAAGTAAGTTTCCTCGATAGTATAGCAGTCATAATATAAATATATGTTTTTTATAAAGGGTAATCCATTTCAAGGTGTCTTAGTGTTTTAAAGAAAAAACACAGAAAATTCAAATTAAAGGGGGAATGTTTATTATCATTCGAAAGAACATTTTTTGGCATGTATTTTTTGAAGATTATCTCTTTCAAATGTTTGCTGCGGCTTCCATCAGATGATCCATCCGTTGTGCTCAATTTTCAATGACTCGTTAGAGCATTCCGACTGGTAACTGCCGAATGACACATGTGACGTTTTGCTCCAAGCCTGAATCGAAGCGGGATTGTTCGTATAGACTTTGGACTTTACATATCCTCACAGAAAAAAGTTTAACGGTGTGGTATCACATGATCTTGGTGGCCAAACGACCTGCCCAAAACGTGAAATTATCTGCTCACCGAAGTGATAAAATAAATCCATTGATTAATGCGATATGTGGGATATGTGGCGCCGTCTTATTGAAACCCAATGTCGCCGAGATCATGAGCATCAATTTCAGGAATCAAATAGTCAGTTATCATGGCGCGATAACGGTTTACATTGACGGTTACGTTCTCACCGGAATCATTGTTGAAGAAATATGGACCGAAGATTCCACCTGCCCACAAACTACACCAAACCATTCTGGATGAAACGGCAGAACTTGAATCTCTTCAGGTTGCTCTTCTACCCAAATGCGGCAATTTTGCTTCTTTACATAGCCATTGAGCCAGATATGGGCATTATCGCTTAACAAAATTTAGCTAGAAAACGTCGGATCTTCTTAGAACTTTTCATGAGCCCTTAGAGGAGAGCGATATAGTTTGGAAAGGTCGAGCGGGTTTATTCTTGCAAAAGTTGTATTTTGTACACTTTCAATTTAAGATCTCGACGTAAAATGCGGCAAGTCGTTCCATACGTCAGTCCGAATTGACTTTCCACGGTCTTCGTGTACACCCTCAACTACGGCCGCTATTCTTTCTTTACTGCGTGCTGGACATGGGGTATTCGATCGAATCTTATCCAATAATGAATGCTGGGTCCCAAGATGGATGATGGTGTTGCGAATAGTTCGCTCAGTAGGCCGATTATGTTGACTATAAGTTGAGCGAAGCGCGCGAAACACTTTCTTTACAGAACGTGAGTTTCGTAATAAAGTTGAACGATTTATAAACGTTGTTCAGGCGTATGTCTTTTCATGGTGAAATGCCAAACAATACTTAACAAAAATAACATGACAGCTTGACACGACTCCTGGGTGATTTGTCTAAAAAAATGCTATTGAAAAAGGTACCTTTACTTGGATCACCCGTTTTAATACTTCCAAATCCATATTACACTTTCTTTCTTTAAAACAAGCTTCTTTCCTCGATAGTTGTGATGAGTATAGTAAAACGTGTAATATATAACACTTCTAACCATTTTCATTTTTTCCTCGAAGCATAATGGTGTCATAATATATGTCATGATATATAATATTTATCAGACAATACTTTCAACTCCATATTGTGCTTCCTTTATTTGAAGAAAATGCGTTCCTAGCTGGTATAGGGGCGGTGACACAAAATATATACCTTATAACACTATGCTCCGAATTATCCATTTATTTATTTGAAACAGTTTTTTTTCTTTGATAGTTTAGTGGTCAGCATCGTAATGCATGTATTATATAACCACTACTATCTTTATTTTGTTATCCATAGCATGGCGGTCAGTATCATGACATATGTATATACCAAATAATCCAAGTATTATACTTTCCAACTCCAAATTACACTCTTTTCATTAGCAGCAAATTTCTTTGCTCGATAGTATAGTGGCCAGTATCAACAGCAAAACTTTAACTTAGCCTAAGTATCTACCAACACCAAACAAGAGACCTATTTAATGGAGGCCTACAAATAGAGCACTACAGATACAGCATTCATATTACATACAAGTATATAGCCGGATGATATATAATATATGTATAATAATATCCCAAACAACTACCACCATACAAAATTTACTACAATGCCAAACAAAACAATACATTTGTCAAAAGCAAAAGAAATTAAAAAAAAGAAAGAACACTGTACGGTACTGTAGATACTTACGTGGTATGATTCCCTGTTCGACGAGCTGTGAATGTGGTCGTCTCACCATTAATTTCACTTTAAGCGCTGCATCGACCAACCAAATCGTAACCACATATCACAGGATTTGCGTTGTAAGCCAAGTCACAAGTGACCGGTCAGCGAGCATGAACATTTTCATGTCATTTGTTGCATTTGATGTAAGCGAAAGCGACGAAAAGCAGCACATTAATATAAGAGAAGAAAGAAAAAATAGTAATGTATAAGTTAACATAAGCTGTCACACAAGAGACTTGTGAAATAAATAGTTGTTGCTAAAATATAGTGTTTGTAGACAACGGAGATACAATATGGGAGTACCTGGACCAGTTGTGCGCAGTACATTTAAGAGCCGCTATAAACCGAAACTGCGGACGTAGTGAAACGGAAGTTTCAGTTTCTTAAATTGCGGTAAATACAATAATAACAATAAACATTTGACGTGCATCAACGGATTTGTGTGGAAGTTTACAAATAAAGAAGACTTTCAGCGGGATTTTGCACAAATTAAATTACAAAACTGAAAACATTGAATTCTGAATTTTGACATCCGCCCAAACGGCATCCTGACAGCACAATAACAATAAACAAATACCACCGCCCTTACAATTGCACTTAGACACAAATAATTTTGCAAACAATAGGAGCGTAAGTAACCGGAGAACACCAGCTGCGTAGGGTGACAAAAACCAAAAGTCAAACAAACAGAACAAAAAATAAATAATATATAAAACCAAAAAGCAAAGAACGAAAAACGAAAAACACACAAAGTGATTTAAGTAAAACAAGAGCAATAGAACAATACAGAGAACAAAAGCAATAATAATATAAGTTTATGTGTGTACAGTAAAATGCAACCCTGCAAGGATGTGCCGGTAAAATAAATCGAAATATCAAAAACCAAACAACCTTTGAAAGCAGTTTTTTTGATTTAAGTTTTAATAATAAAAAACAATAAAAAACGTTAACTTCAATAGCACCAAACCTTAAATACCCTTCACAGGTGCATTTTTATAGCATTAAAGGGCAAAAAAAATCTTCATCTTAATTTTGATAGCTAACTGCTATAACAGCTTTGTATTGTATATGCTATAGTAGTCCGACCTGAAAAATTTAATCGGGGATTATAGCGTTGACTTCGGCAGTAATCCATGTCAAAATTCGTGAAGATATCTTATCAAGAACTTGTGTCTGATCATTCAGTTTGTATGACAGCTAGTGAGCGAAATTTATGAACAATATTTCCAAAACTGAGGGGCTAGTTCGCGTATATACAGCAGACGTACGGATGGACAGACGGACATGGCTAAATCGACTCGAGTCGACATGCTCATCACTTACAATACATACGTCGTTTTTTCGAAGTTCCTTTTGCGTGTTACAAACTTCGTGGCAAATTTAATATACCCTATTCAGGATATAAAAATATTCAGTCAATAATAAAGACGACAAATTATATTAAAACAGGAATCACACTAAACTTAAGATCAATTATGATCCGGACTGCTCTATATATACCTATATCACTTGAAACACCGGTCTTTTGTGAAAGCAGAAGAAGGGTCCTAAAAATGTATTAAAAAAAACTCTCGGCAAAGCGTTTTGAACCTTTCACCAAACTGTTTAGGTAAATATTTACGAATCCATTCAACTCGCCCGGATGACTGAAAGTATAACATTCAAAATGTTTTTATCTCAGTTTTGCGAAATCTCAAGAAAGTACCGACATGAATACACTTCGTTTTCATCCTGACAACTTTAAAATTATTTCAAGTCTTGCTTGCAGAAAATAACTTCAGCGGTTCAAAACAGGGTATTTCAGAAAAGTCGTTCAAAAAAAAAGTACGACAAGGATTCATCTTAAAGGGTTAGGAATAGTCGGAATTTTCCAAACAAAAAAAAACCTTTTTTTTTGCATATTCTTAAAGTATAATATTTTAGAAAATCGTTAGTGTAAAACTTCAAATTCGTTTTTTTTTTTTCAAAACTATGTTTTTAGAGTTGGTGATCACCGTAAACCGCTCGGTAGATTTCAAAACAATTTATACAGTGCAATGTAAAAATAGTGCAATAGTGCATGTTAGAAGGATTTTTTTTAATTTCGACTTTTTATAAACAATTAACTGTTGAATTTTTCTCCGAAAATCTGGAAAAACTTTTTCTGAAGCCAAAGCCCGATTGATTTTATTTGAATCTCCTGGTATTAGTGATGGTCACTGCTAGGAGCTTCGGTTGGAACTGGATCAGGAAATGGTACACCTAAATGGACCCTGCGGGTGTTGAACAAACCACATAGCAGCGAGATTACCATATGTTTTGATGCTTTTTGCTGAGTATCAGAGCTCATATAGCGGACGTTGTGCTTTATATATGAAATACCATCGGACACATCTATCCGAGTTGAGGAATATAGACAAATAGTTGTGTGATACTTGGAACTGGAAATATTCTTGTTATGGGTTCAGTAAATTTATACAACCTATCTCGATATAATCGAAGTTAGCAAATATGGAATAGCAAATAATTAATAAATAAATAGTTCTTGTCATTGGATAACTTGTTTTATTTTCGGAGAATTGCCTTAGAGGGAAGCAAATGAAATTGTATCCAAAGCAAAAACTCACGTGAAGTTAGAGGTTAACATCATAAAGTCTTAGCTAAGACAACAATAATTTGTCACAACTGGGAAACCGCGATGACTGGATAACCAACACTAAATAATGCGCAAAAAACATAATTAATGGTGGGAAAAATATTAACAAGGGCAAGGCGCTGTACGTAGACGAAAACGAAAAGAAAGCTGCTGCCAACTGACTACCAATGAATAATCAGCACAGGAGTGAGAGCAACTGAAAGTAGGAGAACAAAAATTAAACGGAAAATTAAGGAATTAAAACGCAGTAAAATAAACGCGAACACATTTTAAGGCACATAAAAACGCAGTAGGCGGTAGTGACGAAAATAAAAGCAAACAGACCTAAGTTTAGACCGATTTGAAGGCGGCGTTGATTTGCGCCACAGTCAGTGTCAAGTTTTAATTTATTTATTTAAACTGCGTGAAAGTAGAGTCGGTAGGAAAAGACAAGTCTGCAACCGCCGCTGTTAGTTATATGAGCCAGAGGACGACAAGCCGTGGCCTTAATAAACAGCCTAAATGAATGTGAAAAGACGAGAAACCGCCTAGAAGTTCATATTTTGAGGACGTACTAAAATAAACAAATGTAAATAAAACGCGCTGAGGCCGCCAATTTTATGACAAGGCGCAAAAGCGTTAAATGAAATTAACACATATTTTTCAAGCAGCTTGATGAGTTTATGAATTTGAAATTAATGCGCTTCAGTATGGGGAATTTCACTTCAGGAGATGTTTACTGCTTCAAATTAAGCTTCCACAGACTTTTAGCGATGTTTAATTTTATAAGCTAGTGAATATTTGTTAAATTGTATTAAAAATATTGACATTTTAGACTAGTGAAAAATTTTGTTTATCATACGTCATGGAGCACTTAAGAGTATTGCAGACTTAAATGTGATTTTTGTGCTCATTTTTAAATGTGTATGCCTTTTAGTCACTTATAATCGGTAGTATTCAATAATGGAAAGATATGACTATAATAATCATCAGCAGAAAGTTTACAAAATACTTGCATACACATTATTTCACCCAACTAGTATTTGCGAGCTTGTAATTCTCAGCCATAATTAAAACTTCATTTATCGCATATTCGGAAGGTTATAAAGCGTACAATAATTGAAAAACTCCAAAGAAACTATTATTTTGAGCAATAACAATAACTTTTTTTGAAACACTGTACGAATTATTTGATAAAATTCACACTAGCGTCCACGTAATTCTATAACATTCTACTTCCTTTTTGCTCTTTTGAATTTATTCACCAACTTATACCATATATATTTATGTATGGTCGATGTGTGCAATTTTGAGGCACATGTGGCACATACATATTTTGTGCTCGTTAATAATAAGATACTCTTGACAAAGTAATGAACAAAGAAGATAGAAATATTCACTCTTTGGAAGTGAAAGAAGCAAATCAAGTACTTAAGTGGAAAACTTAACCCCAAGAGGGCTTGCGGCGTCAAATGAAGAAATGTGTCAGTGTAATAATAATAAAGAAACCAACAAGAAAGCAATGAGGGGACAAAGCAAGAAAATAACATAAAGTAACTAAGGGCAAGTAGAAAAAAGTATTTAAATATTGAAGTCTTCTAGATATTTACTCTGTTACTACCATTATTGAGAAACTGCAGCGGGAGCGGTAGGTACTAGGGGCTAAGAAGTGTCTATGTGAAAAATGTTGAGTTAAAAATGCAGAGAACGCACAGATAGAGAAAAATAAAGAAAACCGTTAGTCGGAGGACCTTTCCGTTACAATTAAGAGCCGATACTTGGATTGGTCTCGGTCTACATAAGGATTGCAAATAATGCATTAAAAAATAATTGAATTAACAAAAGCCGGATTAAGAATTAGAAACAAGTTTTTAGTTTTGAAAAAGAATACCGGATTAAAAAATATAAAAGAAAAATTTTAATCTCAAGCATATAATTAAGAATTAAAAAAAGAACTTGTTTGGAATCAACATTTTTTCGCGTTCATCAAATCAAAAAAAATATTTTCAATTTTTAACCCGAAACATCTTGGATTGAAAAATAAAAATTGCCAACATCGGGATTAAAATATAAAAATCAAATTTTTAATTCCAACATTTTTATTCAAAATTTTCTGAATTAAAAAATTCGTAACCCTGGTCTAAACTTCATGTCCCTGAAATACTGAATTCCGATTCGTTCGTTGTCGTTTTTGATATCAACTCAATATATTAAATTTAGCCGCTTCGGTTGAGTTTATATCTCATTTGAGTATGATTTTGGTATAATTTTAGCTGATTCGAAGTAAAATATAGTAATAAAACTAAGTGAGCCTATGACCTTCAATATAAATTAATAATATACCAAATTTGATTGTAATCCATTCACGATACGTCGAATAATGAGTTTAAACTCTTTCGCTAAATTTTTTAATATT